GTGGAGTGGAGTGGAGTGGAAGGCGACCAGGACAGAGTCCGGTCAGAAAAAAGCGGTATCACCTCCGGCCCGAAAGCTTAAGGATCAAACCGCAAAAAAACGAAAAGAGAGAGAGAGAGGGGCTTTTTAAGAAACAAAAACAAGGTCCGCGGCAAAGGTAGAAAAAACCGCAGAGGATGGCTCTGCAATGGAGCGGGGCAGCGCCAAAGGTAGAAGACCCGCAGAGGATGGCTCTGCAATGGCAGAAAGACCCGCAGAGGATGGCTCTGCAATGGAGTGGGGCGGCGCCAGCGGTCGAAGGACCCGCAGAGGATGGCTCTGCAATGGAGGCCGCGTCGGCAAAAAAAAACCGCTGAGAGTCAGCAAAAAAAAAAAACGCAGAGGATGGCTCTGCAATGGCAGAAGGACCCGCAGAGGATGGCTCTGCAATGTAGTGGGGCGGCGCCAGCGGTAGAAGGACCCGCAGAGGATGGCTCTGCAATGGAGGCCGCGTCGGCAAAAAAAAACCGCTGAGAGTCAGCAAAAAAAAACCGCAGAGGATGGCTCTGCAATGGCAGAAGGACCCGCAGAGGATGGCTCTGCAATGTAGTGGGGCGGCGCCAGCGGTCGAAGGACCCGCAGAGGATGGCTCTGCAATGGAGGCCGCGTCGGCAAAAAAAAACCGCTGAGAGTCAGCAAAAAAAAAACGCAGAGGATGGCTCTGCAATGGCAGAAAGACCCGCAGAGGATGGCTCTGCAATAGCAGAAGGACCCGCAGAGGATAGCTCTGCGGGGGCGCCAAACGTAAAAAAAAAAACCGCAGAGGATGGCTCTGCAACGCAGGCCGCGTCAGCCAAACAAAAAGAAGAACCGCAGAGGATGGCTCTGCAATGGCAGAAGGACCCGCAGAGGATGGCTCTGCAATAGCAGAAGGACCCGCAGAGGATGGCTCTGCAATGGAGTGGGGCGGCGCCAGCGGTAGAAGGACCCGCAGAGGATGGCTCTGCAATGGAGGCCGCGTCTGGGGGAAAAAAAAAACAGGGCAGAGGATTGCTCTGCAATGGAGGGCGCGGCGCCAAAGGTAGAAAGATCTGCGAAGGAGCGCGGCGCCAGGCGCAAACCGGTACTGTCGCCCCCAGTTGGCCCCCCTGAGTCGGCTGGTTGGGTGCTCATCGGTCCTCAACAAAGACCTTAGTACCGCCCCTGGGGTCCTCAACCAGCAGCTACCAACACAGGGAAGTTCCCCAACCAGGGCCCAGGGGACATATATATATATATATATATATATACATATACATATACATACACTTACACATACACATACACATATACATATACATACACATATACAAATGCTGTACACATAATATATATCTATATATATATATATGTGTGTGTATACACAGAAATATAAATAAATATAAATATATATAAATATATATACATGTATATACACATTTCTTAAGAAAATGCCACGACAATATTGCCAACAAATGAAACGGCCTTCTTGGCGCCATAGGCCCTGTCGGCCGCGGCGGCCACGGTGTCCACGATGCGCGTGGCCTCCGGGAACCCTACGCTGCTCCTTACCCCAAAAACAAGGGTTTAGGGGTTTAGGGTTTAGGGTTTAGGGTTTAGGGTTTCGGGTTTAGGGTTTAGGGTTTGGGGTTTAGGGGCTATTTTGATAGGGAATGAGTGTCTAGGATGGTATATCATAGAGGAAGCACATGCATAGGGGAGTATAAAGACCTCAGGTCCCTCATCATTTTCGCGCCACGAGCAAGGCTGAAAGGAGAACACTAGGCAACAAAACTAAACTTCCCTGGGGCCTAACCCCTAAACCCTAAACTCGGAACCCTAATCAGGAAAATAACTTGTTTGTTTTTTTTTTGACTGGCGGCCGGTCCTATCCTGAGATGAAAACTTGGACATTTAGGGTTTGGGGATTCAGTTTTTTAGGGTTAAGTTTAGGGTTTAGGGATTCAGGGCTTGAGGGTTTGAAGGGCTTTAGGATGTAAAGGTTTCGGGGTTGAGAGTTCTAGGGTTTTAGGGTTTCAGGGTTCCTGTAGAATCAGGCCTTGACACAACTTGACAGGCAAACGATTACCGTGCGCCCGATGGCTCGGGAACACCGCGCCTCAAGCCCCGTCGAACAAAGGCCCCGAAACCCTAAACCCTAAACCCTAAACCCTAAACCCTAAACCCTAAACCCTAAACCCTAAACCCTAAACCCTAAACCCCCAACCCACTGACAATCCTGCAACCTAAGCCATGTAGACCGCCTAAACCCTAAACCCTAAATAAACCCTGAACCCCAAGCGCACACACACAGCGGCCTCAACGCGCGGAATCCGTTCCTTGAAGTCTTCGACATATTTGAGGCCCAACCTCCCAGAGGCACCAGTTTCCCAAGATTCGGGTTTAGGGTTTAGGGTTTAGGGCTTAGGCCCGAAGGCGTCCGAGCCTCATGTTGAGCCCGAGGCTTCTGCCAACTCACTCCCCTCCGACGCTTCAGTCTTGGGAGCGTTGGCGATTAGGGCCTATAGGGTTTAGGGTTTAGGGTTTATAGGGTTTAGGGTTAGCGTTTAGGGCGTAGTGCTGAGGTACTTAGTGCGTTTGGGATGCTTGGGATTTAGGGCATAGGATTCGGAGGGTTTGTAGAGTAGAGGGGGTTGGTAGGGTTTGGAGGGTTAGTGCGTCTGGGATGCTTGGGGTTTCCGAGGCTCGTCCACACTCGGCACCCAGCACAGAAACTTGCAACGCAGTGACGCAGAGTCTCAACTAAGCCCTAAAACCCTAAACCCTAAACCCTGAACCCTGAACCCTAAACCCTAAACCCTAAATCCTAAAGCCCTAGAACCTTTTTTCAGCTGCCACGGGCGCGGACTTTGTGATGTCCCTCTCGTCGGCGACGTCAGATTTTGTCTAGTACCACCACTCCCTATCACTAACCACTTCAATACCTTGTGTGTGAAGTCCCTTGCGATTTCAAAGATCCTGAAAAAAAAACGCTGGAACCCTGAAACCCTAAAATCCGATAACTGGGGATGTTCCCCCTTATATACTAACAGTCCTTAAGAGGGGCTCTGATAAGGGGTACCATCATCCCGATTAAGGACTGTTATGTTAGTATAAGGGGGAACATCCCAACCGATAACCCTGGAACCCTGAAATTCTGAAACCCTAAAACCCTGTAACCCTAAGCCGTAAACACGAAACCCTAATCAGAATGGCCTCTGTGTTCTGGTGAGGCCCAGTTCCTCCTGTCGACGCGGCTTGCACACCAACTGGGTCAGAAGAACTACAGCACCTCTGCTTTAAGCCGGCTCAAGTTTCTAAGGTACTTAGTATTTTCAAGTGGCCTCATCTAAACCCTAAACCCTAAACCGTAACGCAGGATTTTGAAGGGGTTTTAAGATCCCAGGCGCAAAAGCCGACGCTACAGAGTGCGGCTCTGGCAATGAAAGCAGCGCTATCTGGCTCGAGGCTCTGTGCTTAGAGGTTGTGGAGGCTTGCTATTGGGGTTTTAGGGGCTTTAGCAGGGTCTTTAGGGTTTGAGGGGCTATGGGGTTGAAGGTTTAGAGGTTTAGAGGTCTTAGAGGGGTTTGAGGCTTTAGGGCTTTAGGGGCTCGGGGCTTGTGGCAGTTGGAGGCTTCAGGCTTCGGGGCATGCTCCCCCGTTACGAACAGCTCCTTAATAGGGATGATAATAGGGGTACTACACTCCCAATTAAGGACTCTTAGGTATAAGGGAACATCCCAAGGTTCAGGAACCCCAAACCCTAAACCCTAAACCCTAAACCCTAAACCCTAAACCCTAAACCCTAAACCCTAAACCCGCTTCGGGGCTGTGACCCCGTCTGTTGGCACGCGGTCCTCCCGCTGGCGGAGGTCATCGAGGCTTCTGCATCCAGCCGCATACCATCTGAGCATCGCCAGCAACCCTAAACCCTTTAAAATAGAGGCCCGGGCCCGAAACCCGAAACCCGAAACCCGAAACCCTAAACCCTAAACCCTAAACCCTAAACCCTAAACCCCCAAGTCTACCCCGTGGTGGGACGATAACTGGAAAACCCGCTCATTTTTTACCCCCTGTAACCTAAACCCTAAACGATAAACCCTAAACCCTAAACCCTAAACCCTTCGGGTTTAGGGTTCAGCGGGTTCGGGTTTTAGGAAGCCTGAGCCTATCAACAGCTCTCCGAAATGCCCACACTCCTGCATTTCCGCCCCTCGGGTGGGGCGGTTTAGGGTTTAGGGTTAGGGTTTAGGGTCTGGGTGTAGGGTTTAGGGTTTAGGGTTTAGGGTTTAGGGTTTAGGGTTTAGGGTTTAGGGTTTAGGGTTTAGGGTTTAGGGTTTAGGGTTCAGCAGCTCTGGGTCGAGCAATCTCTAGTAGAGCCGCTGTCTGGACTCTAGAAAAAAACCCACCCACCCAGAGAATCCCAAAACATTAAGAAATATAAAGTTCACATTTTCCTCAGCAAGCCCTGTCCTCCAACCTCATTTATTCATTCTGCTCGTGTTCTTTGTCATTCTGCTTGGTTTCCATTCTGCTCGTATGCGTTTCTTTCTGCTCGTATTCATTCTGCTCGTATTCGTTCTTTTTCTGATCTGCTCGTCTCGTGTTCGTTCTCGTTCTGCTCGTATTCATTCTGCTCGTATTCGTTCTCTCTCTGCTCGATTTCAGTCCGCTCGTTTTCGTTGTTTTTCTTCTCGTATTCATTCTGTTCGTATTCGTTCTCTCTCTCTGCTCGATTTCAGTCTGCTCGTCTTCGTTCTCTCTCTGCTCGTAATCATTCTGCTCGTATTCGTTCTCTTTCTGCTCATATTCATTTTGCTCGTGTTCGTTCTCTTTCTGCTCGTGTTCGTGCTCTTTCTGCGCGTGTTCGTTCTCTCTCTCTGCTCGATTTCAGTCCGCTCGTTTTCGCTGTCTTTCTGCTCGTACTGAGTCTGCTCGTACTCGTTCTCTTTCTGCTCGTATTCATTCTGCTCGTATTCGTTCTCTCTCTGCTCGACGTCAGTCTACTCGTATTCGTTCTCTTTCTGCTCATATTCACTTTGCTCGTGTTCGTTTTCCCCGGTGACCCTGCCTATTTTTGGCCGTCTTGTTGGTTGTGTTTGGCACACTTTAAGCTGCCTGGCTTCCACATGGTTGCTTTCCAATTAGTGCCCCGGTGACCTCGCCTCATGTTGGCTCCTGCTCGTAGGGTTTGATGAGAGGCCTAGAGGTTTTGTCGTATGTCCCCTCTCTTCGTGCTCGTAGGGTTTGTCGTATGTCCCTCCCTTCATGCTCGTAGGGTTTGATGAGAGGTCTACAGGTTTGTCGCACGTCCCCTCCCTTCGTGCTGTTAGAGTTTGTCGTATGTCGCCTCCCTTCGTGCTCGTCGGCTTTGTCGTGTGTCCCTCTTCGTCTGCTTGCAAAGAATCCCAAGAATTCAGAAACTGAGATTTTATTCTCAGAGGTTTGTCGTATGTCCCCTCCCTTCGTGCTCGTAGGGTTTGTCGTATGTCCCCTCCCTTCGTGCTCGTATGGTTTGATGAGAGGTCTACGGGTTTGTCGTACGTCCCCTCCCTTCGTGTTCTTAGGGTTTGTCGTATGTCCCCTCCCTTCGTGCTCGTCGGCTTTGTCGCATGTCCCTTGTCTTCGCGCTTGCTTTCCCAGACCGAAGGTAGAACCAAAAGTGTTGGTCCGGATTGACAAAAAAACCCTAATTTTGTTAACCTAATGTTTTGTTTTCCCCCACCCCACCCTCGAACCATTCCAGTTCGAGCCAATCCCCAACCCACCCTAGAACCAACTACCCGTATTCGGAGCCCTTGAAGGGGGGTTTGGGAATCATGGTCTTGGAGTGTTTTGGGCTGGAAACCCGCCTTCCCAACCCCCCTCTCTGGAGCCTTTGAAGGGGGGGTTGGGAATCATGGTCTTGGAGTGTTTTGGGCTGGAAACCCGCCTTCCCAACCCCCCTCTCTGAAGGGGGGGTTGGGAATCATGGTCTTGGAGTGTTTTGGGCTGGAAACCCGCCTTCCCAACCCCCTCTCTGGAGCCTTTTGAAGGGGGGGTTGGGAATCATGGTCTTGGAGTTTTTAGGGCTGGAAACCCGCCTTCCCAACCGCCCGCCTGGAGCCCTTGAAGTCGTTCTCTCTCTGCTCGTATTTCTCAGCTCGTCTTCATTCTGCTTGCATTCGTTCTCGGGGTGGGGGGGTGGGGGGGGGTGGGGGGGGGTTGCGAAGCCCTCATCCAGGTTTCCAACCCCAGAATGGGGGTCCCGAAGTTGCTTTTCCCCACCCCACCCTCTGACCACCCAAGATGAGAAAGACTAAGAAGGGGCTGCCGTGTTGCCCGGCCCCGCAAAGCCTTCATCTTGATCTGGCCCAGACCCAGGTTTTCAGCCCAGAATGGGGGTCTGGGCCAGAAGAGGGAAGGGGTGGCATGGGGGGGGGTGGCATGGGGAGGGGTGGGGGGGGGTGGGGTGGGGGGGGGGGGGAAGGTGGGGGGTGGGGCGGGCATGGGGGGGTGGGGGGTGGGGGGGGGGGGTGGGGGGGGGGGGTGGGGGGGGGGTGGGGGGGGGGGTGGGGGGGGGGGTGGGGGGGGGGGTGGGGGGGGGGGGGGGTGGGGGGGGGGGGGTGGGGGGGGGGGGGGAAAAAAGCCGTGGCCATTGGCAAAAAAGCCGTGGCCATTGGCAAAAAAGCCGTGGCCATTGGCAAAAAAGCCGTGGCCATTGGCAAAAAAGCCGTGGCCATTGGCAACTTTCCCGTGGCCATTGGCAAATGCCACTTGCCAATGGCCACGGCTTTTTTGCCAATGGCCACGTTCCCCATTAAGGTTGGGGCCCAACCTTAATGGGGAACGTGGCCATTGGCAAAAAAGCCGTGGCCATTGGCAAAAAGCCCGAAAAGTTGCCAATGGCCACGGCTTTTTTGCCAATGGCCACGTTCCCCATTAAGGTTGGGGGGCATTTTGTGCGAATTGGGTTTGAAAAACCCATTTTGGCGACCAACCTTAATGACATTGGTGGCCATTGGCAAAAAAGCCGTGGCCATTGGCAACTTTCCCGTGGCCATTGGCGAATTTGCCAATGGCCACGGCTTTTTTGCCAATGGCCACGGCTTTTTTGCCAATGGCCACGGTTTTTTTGCCAATGGCCACGGTTTTTTTGCCAATGGCCACGTTCCCCATTAAGGTTTAAATTATTATATGATAGAGAGAGTTTAGGGCTATAGGGTTTAGGCGCGACGAGCGCACCTGCGCGCCACCGACTCCCCTGCCCCGTGGATGCAGGTGAAGTCCTGGAGAAACTCCCAGGGAAGGTGGGAGGTCCAAGGAATGATTTGCAAAGGTTTAGGGTTTAGGGTTTAGGGTTTAGGGTTTAGGGTTTAGTGTTTAGGGTTATAAGGGCCCCTTGGTAGACCAGTAACCATATCATATCATAATAAGGGCACCCTATTATAATAAGGACCCCATACCTGCACCCCCCCCCCCCCCCCCCCCCAAAACAAAGGGCCTAAGTGTACCTCAAATGGTGGCATTTAGGGCATCTTACTTGGTACTTGGGGGGTCCAGGTAAACGAAGCCAGTTTAACACAATGTCGATATGTGTTTTGGGTTTAGGATATGGTGAAATCAGGAATGTCCTCTCCATCTGCTGCCGCTAAGGCTGATCTTCCGGAAGAAGCGAAGCTGCACATGTTCAACCAAACTGCGCAGCTTGTGGCACGGATGTTCGAGTCTCTTACGAGGGCGGCAGGCACCCCCCAAAATACGATTATCCTTGATTGCAGGCTCTCCCCCGACAATGTCTACTGTCCCTAAACCCTAAACCCTAAACCCTAAACTGGCGATGCTTGATGTTTTCCCAATACCTCCACGTCCTGGTTCAAAATCTGAAGCGCCTCCCCGTCCAAACCTGCTCGCTAAGCCGACTTTATGCTGTTTAGGGTTTAGGGTTTAGGGTTTCGGGGTTAGGGTTTACGATAGGGTTTAGGGTTTAAGGTTTAGGGTTTAGGGTTTAGGGCTTAACCTGGAGGGTTCAAGGCCCCTAATTATCCACTTAGAACTGTACCGATAGCCTTACTAGGGCACTTAAAAGGGGCTTGTGAGTGGGTTATAAGTACAGTTCTAGTTGGTTCATAAGTGCCCTGAACCTCCAAGTGGGAGCTGGAAACCCTATACTCCAGGAGCTTTGTTCCTGATCGACAGTCCTGCAGGATCTTCGTTGCCTCGTCACCTCACCACTTGAGATGCTGGGTGAAATAGAGGGGCCTGAATGATTAGAATGGGGTTTTGGGGGGGTAGTATAGCATAAACAAGGATGGATTATCAGGGAAACTGTTCCGACCCCTATACTACTTAGCAGATGTCAAAAAACACTTCAAGCCCACATGTCTGCGTCTGCGAACCTTTTGGGTTATGTGGTCAGGAGGCCTCAAGCCCTCAACGCCTAACATCCTGAACCCTAGAAAATAAATCCTCACTAACGTCACAAACCTGAAGCTGCTTCACCAAACAGCCAAGCGACATCTAAAGCAGGGTTATAAGTGGATCTTCGGGCACTACTACGCTGGCAGATAGCACCGCTGCGTTCACATCCGCAGATGTACGCACGAGCATATACATACTAGCATACACGCATAACCACATGACATATATATATATATATATATATATATATATATAGACAGAGAGATAGACATATAGATACAGGACATGCATGCCTATATACCTACATGGGTTTGTATGTTAATGGGGAGGCGCGTGACACGTGTTGGGGTCGGGGTATGTTTCGCGGGTATGTTTCGGGGGTATGTTTCGGGTATGTTTCGCGGCAACAGGAGCTACTTTACCTGCAATTTCGGGGGTATGTTACGGGATATGTTTCCGGGGTATGTTTCGGGGTGTGTTACGGGGTGTGTTTCGCGGGTGTGCAACCCGTGTGCCATTCTTAAACCTGAGCCCCCAAAAAAACACAAACCCACATGTATATATGTATATATACATATTTATATATTATTATTATGTGTTAATATTCATTTAATGGAACTACAACGTGTGGGGTCCCAATGGCCACAGGAGGCCCCAAAAAAAACAAAACCCCACAAGCCCTAAACCCTCATCCATACTATGGCACCCTCCAAAACAAGAGGCTACCCCTAAACTTGGGATGTTCCCCCTTATACTAGCAGTCCTTTATCGGGCCTATCATAGGCGGTATCCTATTCAGGAAGCATAAGGGGGAACATCCCAACCCTAAACCCCAGACCCCAAATTCTGCCAAACCCCGGCACAAGAGCATCGCCTCGCACAGCATCGAGGCGATTAAGCCCGCCAGTGGCCAAGATCTCCCGGCACTGCGCAGAGGGGTTGCTGGACTAGGGTTTCCAGTTTTGAATGTACCAGCCCTCCCCCCCCCCCCCCCCCCCCCCCCCCCACACCAAACCTAAACCCGAAACCGTCAACCCTTTTTTTGGGGGGGAGGATCATGTGGAGTTGTCTGGGCTTACTCAGTGCATCGGTTTGTTGAGGTTGAGAGCTATACATTGAGCCGGAAGTAAGCCGCTCAATCCCGCCGATTGGCCTGCCGGGCCCCCCAAAAACGGAAGAGTATTATAACTACAAAATTCCCATCTAAAGCATACAAAAAGGTGATCTAGTAAAAGCCGCTGCAAGAATCTCGTACCTCCCGAATCCTGCCAGGCCTTCTCCCGCGTCTTCGGGCCGAGTCCGGCGATGCGATCGAAGTCCTCTCGTTTAGGGTTGAGGGTTTAGGGTTGATAGGAACCCCTCTCAACCGAATGAGACCCCTAGTTTTATTACTACGAATCCCATTGACATGAATAGGAGCCCTATTCAAGTTGATCGGAATCCTTTTGCATTAGTAGGAGCCTTGTTAAAGTAATTAGAAACCATATGAAACTTGATTGGAATTCTTATGAAAACAAATAGGAATCCACTATTGAATTTGTAGGAATGTGCAGAATGCTATCAGAATTTGTCGGAACCGGATGAAAGCTAATAAGAGGCCTATTAACATGAATAGGAAGCCTTGACCAATTAAAAGATCCCGGTTATAATTCATAGGAGTCCTATTAAAATGAGAAGGAATCTTACTAAAATTAGTAGGAACCAATAGGACTCCTATAAGCAAAAATAAGAATCCTTCAACAAGAATCAATAGGAATGCTACTAAATTAATATAAGCCTAAACCAAAAAGAGCCCTATTCACATTAATACGAGTCCCACTAACATGAATAAGTATCCTGTATAAATTGATAGGAATCTTCGTAAACTGGTAGGAGCCTTAGGGTTTAGGGAGAGGTTCAGGGCTCTTTGGTAACGAACTCTACAAATGGAGACGTATGCACGTTTCTATCAGCCCTCCTGGCCCACATGTAGAGTACCGACTAGACGTGCCCAAAGAATCAGATCACACACACGGAGCACGTAATAAGTCCGAGACACCCCCCCCCCGGATAAAAAAACGAAGTCGATGGCCTTCTCTCGGGGCTCGTTTCTACCAGGAGGGGCTTTAGGGTTTAGGGTTTAGGGTTTAGGGTTTAGGGTTTAGGGCCCCCCCCCCCCCCCTAGCCTTAAGTAGACTTACTTGGAAGCCCAGATACCATGTTATACTAAGAGCACCTGTTTTTTGTTGGTGACTTGACAAGGGAACCTTGAAGCGAAGAGGGAAAGGGTACCACTGGGCTACCAAGGTTGTAACTACAGTTCGTATAGACGGTTTAGGGTTTAGGGTTTAGGGTTTAGGGTTTAGGGTTTAGGGTTTAGGGTTTAGGGTTTAGGGGGGGCTCCTCTCCTGGTAGGGTTAGCAACCTACTGCACAGCCGGATGTGTGTTTTTTTAACCAATGATGGTAATTAAGAAGGAAGAGAACAGTAAGAGCGAAAGGGTTTAGGGTTTAGGGTTTAGGGTTTAGGGTTTAGTGTTCAGGTCAACCGGACAAAGGGCACCAACGCAAACCGGGAAGCCTAGAGCGCTGAAAACCCGTGGAGCCGACGTAGCAAACACAACGCCGCGAGCAACACGCCGAAGTTTCGGGTTTAGGGTTTAGGGTTTAGGGTTTAGGGTGTAGGGTTTAGGGTTTAGGATTTAGGGTTTAGGGTTTAGGGTGTAGGGTTTAGGGTTTAGGGTTTAGGGTTAATCACCCTGGAGGTTCTAGCCTGCTCCAGGTATACGTTAACCCTACAAGCCCTGCAAACCTATATCGAGAGTTACCCTTTGTGCCAGCCTTTAAATGGTAGTAAGCACCCTAAACCCTAGCCTAAACCCTAAACCCTAAACCCTAAACCCTAAACCCTAAACCCTAAACCCTAAACCGGCAATAGATCCATTTGTCAGGTACAGGGTTACTCCAGGAAAGCCCTAAACACCCGAGAGGCCTCCCTAAAGCCTAAACCCTCAATCAACCCTTAAACCTGAACCCTAAACCCCCCTAAACCCCAAACCCCAAACCCCAAACCCTAAACCCTAAACCCTAAACCCTAAACCCTAAACCCTACACCCCTCCCCCATCCATCCTCAGGCTGCCGCAAGGGCTCTGGCCATGTACGGACCAAGCGCTCGGCCTACTGGGATGTGGTGGGGGGCGGGGTCGGGGGGAGGGGTGCGGGGTTTAGGGTTTAGGGTTTAGGGTTTAGGGTTTAGGGTTTAGGGTTTAGGGTTTAGGGTTTAGGGTTTAGGGTTCAGGGTTTCCCTAAACCCTGAACCCTGAACCCTAAACTCCAGATTGACACAGACCTTCATGGAGGGCTTGCGTCGGGGGAGCCGTGGGCTCGGGTTTCAAGCTGGTGTTGGTGGAGACCAGCACGCCTCCTGTCATATCCACCTAGGGTTTAGGGTTTAGGGCCTAGGGTTTAGGGTATGGGGTTTAGGGTTTAGGGTTTAGGGTGAGGAAAACTATGATGGGCTCGTAGAGTTTCTGACGTCTTTTGCATTTTTTTTTTTGGGGGGGGGGTGTAAAGCAAGGCGGCCGAACCTTGGCCAGTTGCCAGCTGCGCCAGCGATCTCCCCTTGCAGAGTACGCCTGCAGGCGCAAGGGCGCCCCGGATGTTCTGGGGACCCTAAACCCTAAACCCTAAACCCTAAACCCTAAACCCTAAACACTAAACCCTACACTCTAGTTCAGCGTGTTTTGAAAGACTTAGGGTGGCTGTGCTGAGCAGGTTCACTTTTCTCTCAGCATCGGCTGGTCCCAAGAGACCTGAAAACCCTTAAACCCTAAACCCCACAACCCTAAACCCTAGCCCTAAACCCTAAACCCTAAACCCTAAATCCTTTGCCGGATACTCAAGCCATCCGCCTCTGCGAGCTCCTTCAGCTGCCGTGCGATGGCTGCCTGTTGGTGATTTGGGCCACTTCTCCTACTTTGGTGGGTTGAGGAGTTAGAATTGGGTTTTAGGGTTTTAGGGTTTAGGGTTTATGGTTTAGGGTCCCAATCAGGTACCCGCTACATATGGGGGTTTCCGAAAATAGGGGGCCCCTAGTATAGACCCCAAATAGTAGGGTACCCCTATTTTCTGAAACGCCCATTGGACCTAAGAAATAGCTTCTAGGGATTGGAGCGAGCGAGCAGCGGCCTGCATAGCCTGAAAAGTGTCCAAAAACGTTCTATAGGGTTTTGGGGGTTCAGGCGTCTAGGGCCTAGGGGATTCGGAGGGTGAGGGCTTAGAGACGTCTAAACAGCCCTCTCAGGAGGTACCTTTAGGTTCTCATCAAGGGACGTGGCTACGGCCCTAAAGCCCTTAGAACACAGGCGATTCACTGGTCTTCGCAAGTGTCGAAGAAACCCTAAACCCCAAACCATAAACCCTAAACCCTAAACCCTAAACCCTAAACCCTAAACCCTAAACCCTAAAATCTAAAACCCTAAACCCTAGCCCTAAACCCTAAACCTTCAACTGCTCTCTGGTCTGCCGAGCATCGTTGGACACGTCGGGATCGAGCTCCACGGGTGCCTCCTCCGCTATCTGCCTCCGCCGAAGAAAGTGGTGCTTGTAAGGGTTCAGGGTTTAGGGTTTGGGGTTTGGGGTTTGGGGTTTAGGGTTTGGGGTTTAGGGTTTAGGGTTTAGGGTTTAGGGCTTTAGGCTTCAGGGCTTGGGGATTTACAGCAGCATTTACAGTTTGCCGGGCGAGCCATCGCCTGCAAGAGCCATTGCTAAACCCCGAACTCTAGAGCCCCCGCCATCATGCAAACCCTATAAACCCTACACCCTACACCGGTTTAGGGCTCAAGGAGCGACCCAAGTCTGGGGGAACAAGAAGACAGACCAGTAGGCCCGTCACAGCCCCAAGTTTAGGTCAAAATCCCCTAAACTTGACTACTAATTGCTTAAGAACCCCGAAAAACATAAAACACTATTCTTCCTTATTAAGGGTAATATAGGGATGTTGTTTTGTTCATTCTTTTGGGGTTCTTAAGCAAGTCGTATTTGATACTTAGGGCCCGAAGGCTCTCTAGTATGTAGCAGCTGTTGTGGGACCCAAGAATTCCCCGCGATTGTTTCTTGGGCGTGGGGACTCTGGCCTCACATGAAGGGGGGGACGACAATCCACTCACTTGTGGGGTGTGGGTTTCGGGTTTCGGGTTTAGGGCTTGGGATGTTCAGAGTGTTTATCGGGCTTTAGGGTTTTGGAGGCTTAGGGCAGTCCTACGTCCGTTCCACACCTTCCAAACCCCAAACCAAACCCTAAACCCTAAACCGTCATACCCTAAACCTTAAACCCTAAACCCGAAACCCTAAACCATTATACCCTTGTAAACCCTAAACCCTAAACCGTTGTACCCTTGTAAACCCTTAACCCCAAACCATTATGCCCTTATCAACCCTAAACCCTAAACCGTTATACCCTTGTAAACCCTAAACCCTAAACCGTTATACCCTTATAATCCCCAAACCCCAGACCCCGTTGCCTCTTGGGGCTTTGCAACATTCCCAGCGACTCCTTCTTCGTCACCTTGGGCGACGCAGCCTCGCGACACTTGGGGTTTAGGGTTTAGGGTTTAGGGTTTAGGGTTTAGGGTTTAGGGTTTAGGATCTAGGGTTTCGGGGTTGTATAGGGTTTGAGGGGTCACACCGACCCCGAAGAAGGTTATGGGTTTAGGGTTTAGGGTTTATTAGGGTCTAGGGTTTATGGGGTTCAGGGTTTAGTTGTAGGGGTCCTTGTGCGAGAGACTTTCAATACTTAGGTTTGTTGGGTTTATGCGACTAAAAAGGGGTATATGCGATTGTTGGGGTTGAGATAAGGGTGCACAGGATTTACAGGGTTGCCTATATATATATAATATATATATATATATATATATGTGTACTTGGTCCCCTCAAGTAGAAAGTCTAGTACATGGACCCCTGCAGGCTATAGATCACCGGCTTGGGTTAAGGGGGTTTAGGGGGTTCGGGATCCTCTGCAACCTTTGACTCCAAACATTTCAAAGGTGTCTGCGCAGGCCCATAGGCCTACAGAGTTTAGGTCGATGTGCTTTAGGGTTTGGGTTTTAGGGCTCAGGATTTCAAATGTCAAAGCTCCTTGTGACCTGGACCTAGCGCCAAGCCCTTCTACTTCCAGGGACCTAAATACTAAGACCCAAGAGAAACCTTGGAACATAAAAGGGTGCCCGGTTGGTAAAACGGGGCTATACGGGAACGTAAACCCTAAAAACATGACAAAGGGCCTGCCCTGGGTCCTAGGTCCTAGACAATGAGGTGACCCGAATCCTTACGCAATAAATCAGGTCCCTGGAAAGTGGTTACCCAAATGACACCCCTTAACCCTACACCCTAAACCCGGAGGGTGTCGAGGATCTGTGGGAGTGACTGGCAAACCCGTCTCAGCGTGTCCAGCATCCTCCCGTTCCCAGAAGCATGGGTTCGCCCTCCGATCCTGCAGAAGAAGGCGCTGAGGAACTTCTGGGCCAAGGTCCGGTCTGTCGGGCTGGGCAGGATTCCCAAATTCATGGCGTTCTGTCGCTGCTCTCCTTTGCTGCTGCTCTAGCCTGCCGCTGCTCGTACTGCTGTCGCTGTTGTTGCAGCAGTTGCGTGAACCGCTCCTCCTCAGAGTATCGCAGGGTGCAGTGGGCCGTAGCCCAGCGGCGATGTCTGACATTCGGTCAGCTCAAGCTTCTCCCGAAAAAAACAAAACCGGCCCTAAACCCAAAACCGAACCCTAAACCGGCCCTAAACCCGTGAACCCTAAACCGGACTTAAACCCCAAACCGTAAATCGGTCTTAAAACCCTAAACCCTAAACCCTAAACCCTGAACCTAAATCGGCCCTAGACAGCAACCCTAAACGAGACTGTACTTGGAAGCTCTTTTGACTTAGTACGTCCACTTAGTATCCCCTAGAAGCCCTCTTATAATCCCCATAGTCCACCTTACTAGCCCTAGGGTTGTTTAGGTTTTAGGGTTTACGGTTTAGGGTTTGAGGTTAACTACATCCTAAACCCGAAACCTAAACACCAAACCCTAAACCCTAAACCCTAAACCCTAAACCGTAAACCGTAAACCGTAAACCGTAAACCCCTAACCCTAAACCCTTAACCCCAAACCTCAACTCTTGAAGCCTTCAAGAGCTTCCGAGTAGAAACCAGGGCCTCCTCCGGGGCTTCCTCTTTGGGAGCTGCTGTGGCTAAATGCGATGCCTCCTGGGTGCCGGGGGCTTCGAAACCCTAAACCCGAGCCCTAAACCCTAAACCCTAAACCCTAAACCCCAAACCCTAAACCCTAAACCCTAAACCCTAAACCCTAAACCCTGAACCCTGAACCCTGAACCCTGAACCCTGAACCCTGAACCCTGAACCCTGAACCCTGAACCCTGAACCCTGAACCCTGAAGCCTAGCCCTAAACCCTAAACCCTAAACCCCAAACCCTAAACAAGCCCAGGATTCTGGGCTTAGGGTTAGGCTTTCGGGCTTAGGGTTGGCGGAGGGCGCGTGCGATAAGGTTGTAATTAAGTACTTGTAGGGATTCGGACTTCGGGCTAGGGGTGTGGAAGTATAAGCCCAACCCACAACCCTAAGCCTTGGGGCTTCAAAGCATTCCGTTCACTCGACCATGGTCTCGGGTTGAGGTGTCGCGAGGGTTGCAAACTCATTCCCCCCGGTTGGCATTCGGACAAGCCACGTTCTCGACTGCCATGCCCCTGCGCGTTGGCGAGGCCTCGGTTGCGTCTTCCAAAATCCAACCCGAAACCCTAAACCCTAAACCCTGAACCCTGAACCCTGAACCCTGAACCCTAAACCCTAAACCCTAAAAGTGTTTGGCAGTTAGGGCCTAAGGGGCAGGCCCTGAACTCGATGGATGCTGTGGATGGCAGCAGGTGGTTCAGTAACCTCTTCATGGGGGAGTGCTGATTTGTTTGTTTCAAGAGACTTCGGAAAAGATTGGGGTTCCCTAAGTTTCCTAAACATGGACGCCCAAAGTGATTCAAACAAAAAGCCCGTGAATCCGGCCAGAAATCCGCGAGTCGAAGCTGGACATTCAGCAAGCTGTGTACTTGGGCTTACTTTCTGTTGAGACATGTAAGACCCAGAAACGCGGAAGAAAGGGGACAGGGACATCCAGGTGGAGAGTGGCTACTAGGAGCAGAGCACAGCCTTGTGTTCATGGTGCTCAGTTTCTGGTGCTCCGGCACACAAGTAAAGCTACATGGCCAGTGTGTGGCTTAAAAACTTGGACCCAAATCCCTTAAAACCCTAAAACTCCAACATCAAAGCCGGGGAGACGTAAGATGACCCCTTTCAGCACACCCAACCTATCGTCTACGTAGACTTAAGGGGAGTTAGGGTTTAGGGCCTGGGTTAACGATGTCGGGTTTAGGCTTTCGGGTCTCCTATACTGAGCTCGGAACCCTAGCTTTTTTTAAATTTTAGCTGTTTCTTAGGAATCCGCCGAGGCCTCGGGCTGGAGGTGTTCAGGTTGTGGACCCCTTTTTGTTGCCTCAAATGGGTACCCCGCCTGGGAAACCGGGGTCCGCAAGCGGACGGTGCGCCAAAGCCAGTTGAAGCCCCCCCCAGCAGGGCCCCCCCCCCCCCCCCTTGTCTCCCAACCCCCCTACCCTACCCCCCCCCCTCTCCCCCCCTCCCCTTTTCCCCGCCTACAGAATATTGGTGAGCGGGGCTCTCACTGGTGTGTGAGCACGGCCGGGGATGCATTACACGAGCCGAAGAGTCTAAGCTAACCTTAAACCTTAAGCTCGAAGCACTCAACCCTCAAACCTTCCCCCTCCCCCCTTCCCCCCTGCCCCCCTTCCCCCCCCACCCCCCCTACCCCCCCCTGAGGGGCCTGGCTCAACCCTACGATCAATCCAACAAGCCGAACCGTCTCTTGAACCCTAAACCCAAAAAAACCCTAAACCCCAAAGCGTGAACCTTGAGCCCTAAGCCCTCAATCCTTCTCTAACCCTCAACCCTAAACCCCAAACCATAAACCAACCCTTATTGCTTGGGGTCCAGCGACTTGGGCGCTGCGGAATCACCATGCTCACGCGGATGGGCCGGGCCGGGCCGAGGCGGGTCGCGTAGCGTTAAAATTAGAGTTCCTAACAAATAAACCCAAGAATTCCCAAGTCTAGGGCCTGGATTGAGGGCTGAGAGTCCCCTAAACCCTAAACCCTAAACCCTAAACCCTGAACCCTAAACCCTAAACCCTAAACCCTAAACCGCAAACGCCCGAGGCCTTTGCTTCGGCAGACGCCTTCTTCGGCGATGCCAGGCCAAGCGCTTTCGCCGGCGCCGGCGAATGCACCTTCTGCTTGGGTAGGGAAACATAGGTTTAGGGGTTTAGGGTTTAGGGTTTAGGGTTTGGGGTTTAGGGTTTAGGGTTTAGGGTTTGGGGTTTGGGGTTTGGGGTTTAGGGTTTAGGGGTTGAGGGTTTGGGCTTTGCGGTTTGGGGTTTAGGGTATGGGGTTTAGGGTTTAAGGTTTAGGGGTTGGGGTTTGCTTGTGAGTCGGGATTGTGGTAGGGGCGGGTACTACTGTGGATGGACAAAATCTTGCACCGCTTTTCAGACACGTCTTTTTGTGTTCCCCGTGCCCCCTTTTTAACATTGGCTGTGAAAAGCTAGCGGCCGGATTTGTTCCAATGGTCGAAATCTTGCACCGCTCAAGTAGTCCTAACCGCCAATGTTAAGCAGGGGGTGCGGGGCTTGATGCCTCAATCGTTTGAAGTACGAATGTACAGGCGGTGCAAGATTTCGTCCATCCACCGAAGAGCAGAAGTGTTTTTGCATCTTTCGCACACCGACAGAAACTGGAAGCTGATAGTGCGTACCCATCCTCTTCTACGGTGCCTGGACGTACTCGGGACACACGACGCAGCAAGTCATTCCATGTACACTCAACGCTACAGTCAAGTCAGTACTGCGAAAATGCTGGAAAATCTAGCATTTTGCTGTTCTGGACATGAAGAAGCTAAGAAAAGCTGTATGTCCTATAAAAGCAACAAATGCATGCAAAATGACAGTCAACACTCAGTCAACACTCAGTCAACACTACAGTCAACACTACAGTCAACGCTGCCAAAATGCTGGAAAATCCAGCATTTTGCTGTTCTGGACATTAAGAAGCTAAAAAAACTATAATTTTCCTTTGAAACGAGCGAATTGTGGAATCTGCTGGTTTTCCCAGGGTTTTGGTAGTGTTGACTGTAGTGTTGACTGTAGTGTTGACTGAGTGTTGACTGAGTGTTGACTGAGTGTTGACTGTTATTTTGCACGTATTTGAAGCACCGTGGGAATGCAAACGGC